ACACACACACACACACACACACACACACACACACACCACACACAAACTGCTTGGAGAGAGTCAAACACCACCGCCACCTCCTCCACTTTAGGTTCTTGCCAGAGGCAGAACGACTGTTGGCTGCTCCTGCGGCTGAGATTAAACTAACAGAGAGCCCCCCCCCCCCCCACCCGCTGCTGGGAAATGAAGTGTGTTAAAAGCCTGGCGCCTTCTGCGCTCCTCTGAGGTTTGGGTCAGATGAAGATTTAAGCAGATCCTATTTCTTTGAGCTTGTAAATAAACAGTCTCATCTCATTGACTGATTAACAAGCTGATCGTCTCTTCTTCATGTCATATTTTTCTCTTCGTCCTTCCCTTTCTTTATTTCACTCACCCACCACCATCCTCTTTTCTTCCCAAACGCTTTCTTTCTTTCATCATTTGTCAATTATTTCTTTCAACACCTCTTTCTTCTTTCTCCCCCGCTTCAGGAGGACGATGGTCTGCGGATGAGGAAGAGCAACGTGATGTCATCTCAACACACCTCGATTGGCATGAAGAAAGAAGAGGGGTTGAGCGCCCGCACGATGGCCCTCATCGTGCTCTTCTTTGTGGTGGGCATCATCGTGGGCAAGTTGGTCTTGTAGATGGCAGCGCAGTTCGGTGGAGCCGCAGCATGCTTTCAGGGGGAGGAAAACAAGCACGGGATCTGGGATTTTGGATCGGAAATGGCATATCCGCTGGGTAGGGGGGGGTGGTACTAGTTTTGATTCAGTCTCATTTATGTAAAAAATACAGAAGAAAAACCGATTCATCATTACAGGTCTTGCCTCTACTTAATCATCACATAATCATTCTGCCCTTTTTTGCCAAAGTTTCATGTATACAGATTACTGGTTCGGGGGAATAGGGGGGGCGAAAACACAATTGAAAGCTAGTGATCCAGACCTATTATGTAACACCGGCGAGGTAGTGTTGGTGCGACTGAGTCAGTTTGCAGTTGTGTGAATGTCATTTTAGTGTTCTTTCTTTTTCCAAATGACGGAGGCCAGAGCCTATCTATATGTATACGTAACCCCCCCAGACACACACACACACACACACACTATACAGTATAACCAGGTGTTCCTTCCAGCTAAACCCCCTTTAAGGAAGGAATTTACCAGAGCGATGATCCACACAGTCGGGGTTACACACACAGGGCTACCAAACTGACTCCTGCAATCAGAGGCTTTGTAAAACCGGATTGTCTTTGATTGTAGAACAACCTTGATCAGTGTATGAAACACTACCCCATAGGTATTTTCTTTCCTTGTGTCGTTTGTATTTTCACTCTACCTTATTCCCGTCACCTGTCACTCAGCTGCTCACCGCGTTCCCAGTTGTCAGAGGGGACTGTTTGATTGCATGCGTTCACACACAGATTGTTTGAATCTAATTTAATTGCTTTTATAAATGGTAATAATGTCATTTTGGCTGTAGGTTTGCACAACTACATTTTCAGTTTTCTTTCTCTTTTGTTGCATTTTTATGATTTTAAATAATTTCTTTCTGTTCTAGGGTTGAAGCATTTAAGAATACAAGAAATGAGCTCCAGATTTGTAGGATTAGATCATTTCTGTAAATGTTATCCAGATGAAAGGCTTGCCTTGTGAACTATTTGGGCAGGTTATTCTCAGGCCAAGATGGAGGTGTGTATATATGAGATGCATGTAGAGGCAACCGATTGTTTCCCTCACAACATTAACAGCAACACTAAGGTCCTCTTACAGTGTCCTCACAAAGGGACCTTGTTCTTTTCCACCTCTTTTTGTTTTCTCATATTTTCCTACTGAGCCATACATTTGTTGACTGAGTGTTTCAAGCTGCCTGCTCAGGCTTGGTTTTTGTTCACTCTACTGCAGGCCCGTGTCCAGTTTTTGGTGTTTGTTCAGCATTTATCCGTTGCTTATTAATGTTAAATCCTCACTGCATTTGAAGTTGTGTTCATTTTGAATGCACCAAGATTAAGCGTGTCACTCCTTTGATCTTTCTGCAGCATACATTTTTTTTCCTCAAGCAAGAGAGAGAGGGGGGGGGGGGGAAGCATACAGACTAGTTTATATCCTTGAGGGGACCACAAGATGACATTGTACTGTTCCACAGCCAATGTTTTTTTTGGTATAAAATAAACAAAAACATAATCTCAAATTGTTTCATCTCCAAATTTGCATGAGGGGTAAAATAGCAGTGGAGAGCATCATTCTGCTTTGTGATATTTGAAGGTAAAAAGAGAGTAGCTAATCATGTTTTTATCCCACTATATCCACATAAGATCCAGAAGTGTGTTGTCCATTGTTAAACTGAAAGAAAAGTTAAATTCCACCATTATTTCATGTTAAGTGGAGGGGAGGATGATGGTTATGACTGGCGGGTGAGAGCTTAAAATATACATGAGTTGTGTTTCTACTGTATCTCTGTAAAGTTGTTGGGTTGAGGATGACTTGCTGCTTAGAGGGAGGGCAGAGCTGAGCTACAGTCCCATCTTGGGTTATCAGACCCGGGCCATTTAGTACTTGCAGAAAATTCTTCTTGTTCAATGAATCCTGGTTGGAGTGTCAGAGCATTTTTACATGAAAGAATATTGCAATGTATCAGAATATACTGATTAATAATTTACCACAGTCCTAATGTGGTACTCCAAGCAGGATTAAATGAACAATAACAATTACATTGGAATACTAATTGATCCAGGCCCGGTTGTAAAACACACTACACTGACTATCACCGTGATCAATGTAAGCAGTCGGCAAACTGTTTTGTATGTATATAAATAAATAAATAAGTCTATCTGAGAAGAAGAATATTCCTAGTTCAAGTAGTCTCTCTGGTGTATAAAAACAACCCAACCTGGTTGGACTATGTAGCATCTTAATAAATTAAATGAATAAAGCCCCTACCAAACTGTGTGAAGTCATTTTATACAGGTGCATTTGCATATATACACTGTATACATCACAAAATGTGTTAAGAATTGTGGGAGAAAAAAAGAAATCCTCATTGATAAGAATTGTGCTGCCCTGCTTATAGTTCAGGTTGATTTATGCACTTAAATGTGTGAGGAATGTGTAGTTAGGTCTATGATTGTGTGATCTAAAGGTATGTTACTAATTTTACAAATTTTACATAGTGGCCAAATTAAGGAATTACAATTTCAAGGTCCGTCACCAGATGCCATGAGGACCAAATATATCTTTTCCCCATGAACTTACATTGGGAAAGATACAACTTAGTAACTTGTAAATTATTTATTTTAGGTAAATTAACTTCCCACTATGAACACGTGATTAGCCCTTATTTTAATTATTAGGTCCTAAAAGTTGTAAAATACACAAACAGCTGAATCCAATTAATTTCCTGCTACTGTTGATGTGAATGAGTCAAGAACGAGGTTAAAGAAAGCATTTGTGCGCATGCTCTGTGGGTCCCATAGTACTGAAGATCTGGGTAGTTTCATATGAATTTAATAAGTGGAATGTTTTTTGCTTCATGCGCCACTCAGCAACTTTCATAGGAATAAACGATTCTGAATGGTTAGCGTGTGTAATGCTAGTAGCAGCTAATGTAGCCGCTAACCTCAAGCAGACGTTACAGATGTTTGGTTAGCTCACTTCTTTCCAACTGCACACAATCAATTTTTTTCATTTTCAAACTTTCAAACATCTACAGTCCCAACTGACACCGTCTTGAGTGACATTACTTAACCCAGACTTCACGCAGCTCGCTCTGAAGTTCCAACTCCATCACATGAAGTAGTACTCAGCGAAAGAGGTTATATAAACTGAAGCGACCTTTTGAGACTTTAGCACTCATCACTGAGATGAAAAAGTGATTTATTGAGCGAGGTTTTGGTGCGTGCAGCTAAAGGCTGGATCACATCTTGGCAGTGGGAGATGTCTGAGGATCTGAGCCACCCAAGCATACAAACGCGTGTTAAACAACTTGTTAAAGCCTTTTCCAACAAAGCCACAGTTGTGCCTCACATGTATTAGTGTGACATTCCAGTCACAGAGTCAGTTTCTTTAACAGAATACTCCGCAATACGGTCTTCTAAACAACACTTAACGCTGTTCTGAAGGTATTTCCAGAATCATCAAAGATTCTTCCAACCATCTGGCTTGTTAGTTGCTACCACTTTGCTTGATTTGGCAGTAGTATGTTCAAATGTATAACTGCAAGGTAATTCATTACCCTTTGGCTTTCTACTGCTGCAGCCTGTAGTGTCAACAAGTAAAATAAAGTCCCGGTGATTCATCGGGTGTTATTGTATCGGTAACAACCAGACAGTGTTTCTGTCTGCACCTCGTGGCTGGAGGCAGCAGAGCGGAGTTTGTGTCAGGAAACCCCCCCGGCGTGCACCTGGGCCCGGTAGCTCTTCGGCTGTTTGGCTTGGCCGACGCAAAACACAGCTGCGAACTTAATGGTGGAAACTAACCAATATTAATTTACTTTTCTATAATCTGTTGGGAAATAATCCATTTCCAAGCTAAAGCACAGAGGAATTTCTAAATACTGGAAAGATGAAAATTAGAAGAGGTCCTGAGGTTTGCTGCTCACCTGAAGAACAGGTCAGCCAGGCAGCAACTACGTTTTTTTTGTCTTTTGCCGGCTGGGCAACCAACAGGAGGTCACTGGTCCTGACCAAGAAATAGTCCGGCACAAATCTTCCCCATAAAGCCACAACTTGTTTGAACATTTCTCTTTTCGTAAGCATTAAACAATCACAAATATAACGTGTTAATGAATGAGTTTAAGAGGTTCTGGTAGACAGATTTTGTTTCATTTGATAATGTAAAATGATTTTGCTATTCTTATTAAAACCCACGATGTAGAAAAGTAATGAAGTGATTACCTCCGCCTTTGTCACAATTAATGAAAGTGAACTAACACTCAAATGACCATAGAGCGTTATTATTACATCAAATATGGATAGCTTTGAAATGTCAGAGATTCATAAACAAATTTTGACAAAAAAGGGTTCACGAACAAGAAATATTTGGGGTCAACTAGAACTCAAAAGGGGTCTAACTCGCTTTTAGATCTCACATACATAGTACAAACTACTACAACACTCTAAAAATTTGATAATAATAGATAACAATACCCATAATAATATAGATACAAATATATAGTTTTTAGCCATGTTTCACAACTGCAGTCTGAGACTCTAAACGGACATTTCAAGTCATTCTTTGTAACAGACTTCAAGAACTTAAAAAAAAGATGTTAGATATTTTTTAGCTATTCTAATGGGCTGTAAAAAAAGCAGCTTGTAGGTGTAGTCCCACATCAAAACATGCACATTTGACATCTTATCAATCATAGCAAAGACAATGCAATGATCAAAGCTAAAGCTGCTTAGACGAGACCCGACACAAGTTCATAATCCCAGCGATACAAGGTATTGATGTCCTAATTGACCTTTCCTTGACTTTAGACTGAACAGGTGGTTCTTATTATTCATATCTAGCACAAGGAAACCACATCAGTCATTGATCCCTGACCCTTGTGCTGGATGTCTTTTATAGGCCACAGATTGTTTCTCTCCAGATACTGTGACTGATCTGTAACCACTCGGCCTCACTCCCGATTCACTAAATCTGGTCTTTAATGAGGTCTGTACAATAAACCTGATGTCTGGCTGCACTTCAACGCTGGGAAACATATAAAAGATTTAATTATGTATCAGCTTGACACTCTCCTTTTTCTCGGTGTTTACTGTGTGCAATAATTACTTTTGGCAACTCGATGAGTATTGTTTTACACTGTAGTTAAAGTACACTGAGAAACGAATCCATCTCCTGCTTCATCAATAGGCTTTACATATTTGGCATGTTTATATATACCCCTAATTTATTTTCCAATGAAATAAAATACTCTGCACTCTGGCATAGCTGTTTGGCACACCAATAAGTCAAATTTCATGCAAATTTTCTACATACAAGAGGTCCCTGTATGGGTTTTTGGGCCATAACTGTTTGAAAAGGACTTGCAGCTTGCCAGAAAGGTTGGAGGCTGGACAACTGGCAGCCAAGGGGTGCAGTCTGGAAGACTCAGGCCTGTGGCAGATCTCTCCAGCAAAAACCTTTTCAATCATTTGTGTGATCGTAACCTCAGAACAGAAACATGACCTGGTTTTACAAGCCACCAGATCTGACAGATAGCTCTTAGGGGAATGCTTCTGTCTAAATTAGTCCAAAAGGCAACAAATATGTTGAAGAGGTTGTCTCATATTGGATGATGGAAGCTCCTGTTCATCTGTTATGTTTTTTATGTGTGGCAAAAGACATTTCTTCTGTGTGGCTGCAACTGTGGAAAGCAACTAAGTATATACTTATGTATTTGTTTATATGTAAGTACTTCATACTTCTTAAATATTGTACTTTTCACTCCACTACATTTATTTGACAGCTATAATAACTAGTTACTTTATTAGAATAAGAGTTTACGTTAAAAAGAAAAGAAAAAAAACTAGGACAAGATACATGTATATTGTTAAGAATGAAACCAGTGGTTCTCAAAGGTGACCCCTTACAAAAAAACAGTGTCTGTTTGGGGCCCTTTGTTTATGGGTTGTTAACAGGTCCACAAGTCAAAAGAATGATATATATATATATATATATATATATATATATATATATATATATATATACAGTATATATCACAATATAGTATATATGAATTAACCACATGATCAAGCTCATTTTTCTTAACTCCTGTGTGAATTAAATACTTATTACATATATGTATTTCCTAAATTATTAAAGAACTTTAGTGCAAAATGAACACAACAGTTTGCGGTGAAATTGGAGAGAAATAAGGAGGAAATATATTTCCAACTAATCACTGACTATGTTTACATGCGTGCACACAAATACAGAGAAATCAAATTAAGTCAATAGTTTGATTTAACTGAGTTTGATCAGATTTTCTGGTAATTTGAGTTAGTGTGCACTTTTTATTATCAATATATCTCAATATGTGATGTCATCATGATACAATTCCATTGAAATGAACATATTGAATTATCTCCCCTAGGTTGGCAACCACTGCGTTCAACTATCGAGCAATAAATAACTATAAATAAGTCAAACAAATTTGAGGTACTTGTACTTGTACTTGAGTAAAAATAGAAGTACACATTTGAAAAAAAAGACATCTTGGCATTTAATGCCGTATTATAAGCAGTTAAAAGCTAGTGTTTGGAGGTTAAACAGGTCATAATTCCCTCTCTAATATCAATTTTATATTGCTGTGAAAACACAAAAGCTCAAGTTTACAAGATTACATTTGAACACATCTCTTATAGCGTTATATTATATATCTTCGCCCAAAAGTCATTTTCACTAAATAGTGCTTGAAGGCCTCCATTAACGTTAACGTCAGCTCCTTTTTTATCTGGGCAACGTGAACTGTGAAAGTTAGACAAAAAAGGGTTTTAAGAAGTGGAGGATAGCAGTGGAAATTATGCCATTGACTGTTATAATAATAATAATAATAATAATAATAATAATAATAATCATCATCCTTGTAAAAATAATAATATATAAGTTACAGGCCATTTTTCTACAAAACGATTACAATTGGACAGGCGGGATCTGTTCAGTAGTTGGTGTATAAGTATATGAGCATGAGGCCATGACAGCAAGGAGCCCGTTTCTTGTGTGGCGTGAGATCAAGCAGGAAAGTGCAGTCGTTCTGTGGGCGAAGAACAGCGCTTCATTCATTTGTCTCAGAGCCAAGAGGACACAGTTTTCAATAGAAACTCATTTGTTTCAACTGAGCCCGCCAACTTAAGTCTGATGTTATCTTTTATGGGGCAGCTGCATCTCATATTCTCATAGAAATAATGGCATTTTCTTAACAGAGCCTGAAATTTGAATGAGTGAGAG